CCATCATTAGTTAGTCATTGATCATCCCAAGTCAAATGCTTTGCCCAAAACCCATATTTTCTCATACTTGATAAGATTCTTGTTTAGTGTTGTTTACTTGTTTAATTTGGATTAGCTTTCATTTGCATTATAATTTCGTTAGTTTCACTTAGTTTCATCGTAATTAGGATCTTTAAAATCCGAAATACAAAATCACCACTTGCTTAGCTTAGTCGATTACTTGGATTCTTAGTGTAGCTATTCTTAACTCCCTGTGATTTGAGCCTATGCTATGCTGTAACAACTAGAGTGTGTTGTTAGCTAAGTTTAGGAATACAAATACAATTTGACACACATCAAAATTAGCTAGAATAACCTTTTTTTTGTTTAATAGCTAAAATAACCTTACTATTTTTTTTATTGTTGAAATAACCTATTCTAGATTTTTTTTCTTTCATAATACCAAAATTGTCCTTCGCAGACTCTGCCGAAGTATTGGCAGAGTATGCCAATGTTTCGGCAGAGTCTACCATATCTCGGCAGAGTCTGCCAATGTCTCGGCAGAGTATGCCAATGTCTCGGTAGAGTATGCCAATGTCTCGGCAGAGTCTGCCAATGTTTCGGCAGAGTCTGCCAATGTTTCGGCAGAGTCTGCGTATTTCTAGATATTGGCAGAGTCTGCCAATATATCGGTAGAGTCTACCAATGTTTCGGCAGAGTCTACCATATCTCGGCAGAGTCTGCCAATGTCTCGGCAGAGTATGCCAATGTCTCGGTAGAGTATGCCAATGTCTCGGCAGAGTCTGCCAATGTTTCGGCAGAGTCTGCCAATGTCTCGACATAGTTTGTGTATTTTTATATATTGGCAGAGTCTGCCAATATATCGGTAGAGTTTGCCAATATATCGGTAGAGTCTGCGAATGTTTCGGCAGAGTCTGTCAATACCTCGGCAGAGTCTGCCAATGTTTCGGCAGAATCTGCCAATGTTTCGGCAGAATTTGCCAATGTTTCGGCATAGTCAGCGAAGGACAATTTTTGGTATTATTTCGAAAAAAAAATTCAGAATAGGTTTTTCGGCAATAAAAAAAATAGTAAGGTTATTCTAGCTATTTTTTAAAAATGTATGTTATTCTAGGTAAATTTTTCTTTTTAG